ACATGTTTTAATGATGATGCAGGCACTAAATGAAACCCTTTTCATTGGCCAGTTCGCATGACATATACTTAGCATGACAACATTAGCCAGCTGGATTGCCAATACATGAAAATACTGACAATAATTCACAATACTATTGTATTTATTAGAACTTGCCATTTGGCTATAACTCTGCAACAACTTATCTCGGCATTGGAGTGAAGGCTGCGGAGGCGGAGCTTCTGCACATCCGCGTTGCTATGCAAGTAGTATGGCAGCTCGCGGCCGATTTCGGTCTTGCTCACTCACATCAATGACACATTTTGAAAAACATATAGGTTGTATTCACATGACGTCACCTTGGCGGGTGCGGCAGCAAAAAGTGTGCCAGCTGCGCTGGTAACCACGTGGCCACCATTTTTACGGCCACTATACCAGCGGGCGGCCGCCAACAGCATATCACAGAACACCTATATAATAAGGGCATACCGGCAGATTAGTCCAGCTACAATGGCTAGTAGTCCAGCTACAATGGCTAGAAAGTCCGGCAGTTCCAACAAACGCTCACAAGTTACTGCGGGCACGTTGCTCTTGTTTTAATTTTATTTGGCTATAGAAGGTACGACATTAACCATTTGTGAAGCTCATACCGCCATGGGTGATGCATGCTTAGCTCGCTTGAGCATGTATGCCGAGAAATTAGATGCAGATGCTAAACAGCGATACACGGACAAAGTGGCTCTCTACAGTGCGTGTTGATGCACTCATTCTGATGAGCGAGGAGGCCGCATTTGACACCAGACTTGTTTCGAAGGTGGAACTTTATTTTTTTGCTAAACAGAAAAATGTAATCCAAATGTCTTTTCATACAGTTTTTGCATGCTACACGGCATCTTGTGTAATCACTGCCTCTATTTTTAATTGGTGCTACACAACTGAATATTTGTTTTATACCGGTAATATTGTTGCGAACCCGAATAATGCTATTGCTCTAAATACTATGCATCACTTGTTTGTTATCTATGTTTGGTTATCAAAAGTTGTGGAACCAAAGTGTGGTACAGCAAATAATGATAAGCCATCATTACTACGTATTTTATTTACTTTTACTTATGCATCCTATTCAAGAGCTGCTACTTTGTTATACTCAGTAACCTTATTGCCCATTTATATGTATTTATCTCTATCACCTGCAAATGAACACTAATATAAAGTCTTCTACTCCCTGTCAAGTAAACACACTTTTTGAAAATCTGGGTGGGTCACCCCTAGCTGTACTTCATAATAATATGCAGTTCGCATGTTGTAAAGACGACGACCTCTTTGCTCTTCTTGATCAATTTAAATTTAATTTTTCCGTAATAATGCTTACAAAACGGGGTATTATGATGACTTGGATGTTATCACTATCGAAGGTTACAATACAGTGTACTGAAATAGAAAAATAAGAGCAGGAGGTGGTGTATGTATGTACTTTAAACATGAAATGAGATACGAACGGTTAAATGAATGGTGTCAATGCTTGGATGATTATGAAATTGTATCTGTTAAAGTGGACAACTGTGTATTTGTGACAGTGTACAGACCTCCCGATGGTAATATTAACAACTTTATGCAGTTCTTGGATCAGATGTTTGCTTTCATAAATGAGCATAATTATAGCATTGTATTGGGAGGTGACCTGAATGTTGATATGTTAGCAAACACAAAAAAACAAAAGGATCTTTCCACACTTTATTCTCACTTTTTATCAAATGTCATTGTCACTCCTACTCGTATTACTCAATCGAGTGCAACATTATCAGACCTGTTCGTAACAAACTTTTCCTCAGTATCCATACTTTCAGGCACTATATCTACCGCGATTAGTGACCACCTCCCTGTGTATTTCATTGCGCCCCAATCCCGTTATCAGCCCAGACAGTCCGTTTCTGGTATATTATATCGACCAGTGAATTTAAGATCTCTTTCGAACTTTCGGGTTGAAATTGAGCGAACAAAATGGGACATTTTCCTTGTCCACGGCTGATTTAGCTTATGACTATTTCATGCAAACGTTCATTTCACTTTACAATAAATGTTTTCCTCTTAGGGCTTTGAAAAAGCCAAAGCGTGTTCGCAAACCTTGGATGATTTCTGAGATACTAAAAATGATGAAGGAAAAAGATACATTATTTAACGTATTTCTAATTACCAGAAATTCAGATGATTTGAAGACGTTTAAAAAATACAGAAATTCAGTTACTAAAGTCCAACGGCAAGCAAATCAAAATTGTTATCATTATATGTTTGAAGGCGTCTCTGCCAGCAAAGAAATCTGGAATAAGTTAAACTCCATCATATCTCGAGGTAGAGCTACAAATTGTTTAGAACTTGTAATTGACAATGAGGTTATTAAAGGCAAAGAGTTAGCGGATAAATTTAATGAATACTTCACATCTATAACTAAAAGCTCGCATCAAACAAGTGCTTTTGAGTACTTACCAACACCACTCAAGGAATCAATATTTTTTTGTCTGACAGATAAAATTGAGGTAATACGAGTGTTTAAAAGCTTTAAGATGTCTAAGAGTGAGGATTTAAATGGCCTAAAAATGGAAGCAATAAAACATGTTATTGACCTACTTAGTCCATGTCTGACACACATTTACAACGTTTCCTTAAAAAGCGGCATTTTCCCACAGAATATGAAGGATGCTAAGGTGACGGTGATCTACAAAGGTGGAGACAAAAACACTTCAACAAATTACAGGCCGATTTCAATTCTCCTGCTTTTTTCCAAAGGACTTGAAAAAATTACTCATACTAGACTGTTGAATTTTTTCAATAAACATTCCGTTATAACTCAATCACAATTTGGTTTGAGATCAGGCTACTCAACTGAAAGATCCCTATTGTTTCAAAAGGAATTGATTCTAAAAATATTGAGGCCAAAAAGTTCACACTTGGCATATTTTTAGATATGCCGAAAGCATTCGACAAAATAAACCACAAGACATTATTAGGAAAACTGCAGTGTTATGGAATTCGTGGTGTCGCCTTAAATCTGATCGAAAGCTACCTAAGAGACAGACACCAGTGTGCATCTATAAACAGGAAAATTTCGTCCATGCAAACTATTAAAGATGGTGTTCCCCAAGGCAGCATATTGGGTCCCCTTTTGTTCATTATATTTATAAACGATATTGTACATGTTGACCCTTCAGCCCAATACGTAATTTACGCAGACGATACAAGCTTATTTTTTTCAGGTACGAATGTTAGTCATCTCGAAAACACTGCTAACTCAACGTTACAAAAGATATACAGCTGGACCCTTAAAGATTCCTTACTTATAAATTGTCTCAAAACAAAAGCTGTTCTTTTTTATGCCAAATCTCCCCTCAATGAAACCACTGAATCCTACAATCTCATGTGAAGTAGCAGCAAAATCGAATTCTCTTCCACCGCGAAGTCTTTGGGCGCTTGTTTCCTTGAACACACGAAATGGGATTATCACACGGAATTTTTATACAATAACCTTTGCAAAGTCTTGGGTGTCTTGAGAAAATGTCAGGGTTTATCGCCAGTTCCTCAAAAACTTCTGATATTTAATGCGCTCTTTACATCACATCTGAGTTACTGCAACCTAATTTGGTGTAATGGAACAAAGCAATCTATTAGTAACCTTATTATCTTACAAAAAAAAGGCACTACGATCTGTTGCTAACCTCCCTTTTAATGCCCATACTTCACAATTATTTGCTAAATACAAAATAATCAAATTAAACCTGCTCTACGAATATTCTTTAGCAGTCTCTTTTAGATCTGATACCATAACAGGTCGTGGCTATATACGTAGTTTAGCTAACTTGAAATTAAGTCCTTCAACGCGCCTAAACCGACACTGAATATTGGCATGTGCCGAGACCGTGCACAAATTATGGCTTTCAGACATTGAGTTATTGCTTGCCGAATGTAGTAAATAAATTAGGAATTAATTATGAAAATGTTCGTATGCTCTCTAATATTTTTATTTTAAATATGCTTTATTAATTTGTGTGTAGTATTATTTTCTGTTTGATTACTTCTTTCTTTCGATGTATAGCATGTGCGTTTTTGGTTAGTATAGTTTGTTTAAATTTTTTGTTCTGATGCAAAGCATATGCATTGCTGGTTTAAACTGTCCTGTGTTTAATTTGATTTTGCCGTTTTTGCCACAGTTGCTATGGGGATATGGGGCTTTGTCAAGCTGTTTTATACAGCTTTTTTTCCTCTTTCCCAGCCACTTACTGTACAACTGTACGTGGTAAATAAACTAAACTCAAAACTCAAACTTTGAGACATAAAGGACCGCTTGGTGCATATACAAGTTTTGTGACGCACCAACTACTCAAAGCCAAGAAATCATTGGATGCTTAACTAGTGGTTCTGTCCATGAACTTTCGCTGAAAAGTCACGGTGATTGCATTGATGTGGGCTCAAAGGAAAGATAGTCTGAAGTTATATTTGATCTGTTAGCGCTAAACTCAAGCTTACCCATGAATTTGTACTAGTGCGATGTTTTACGAATCTAGTAGAAGCGGTGGGCATAACAGCGCTTACGAACTTGCACATAAAAACACCATTGCATGGGGGCATATTAGATTGTGCTGGAGTGCACACAAGACTGAAATTTTGACGTGGTTGGCTGACCCACAGCTTTGATCAATCGAATGAAAAGTATCAGGAGCGCTTAATTATTCACTAGACCAAGGTTCCAAGCCACCTGTGCTTTGAGGCAAGTGTACTAAGCCAGGCCACTTTAGCGAGAAAAACAAAAACGTGTGCCTCTCATTTAAGCTCGCAATGTATCGCGCATGTATTAATATGAATAGTCCAACGTTGAGTACTCCACTATGTTGTACTTTTCCCAGACGTCTCTGCAAGAGCACTGAAACTGACTGCATTTACTGCGGTATTGCAATTTCTGTAGTGTTTCGTTCCTGCCTGAATTACTCAAAGCTGTCAGAATATGAACTCAACTGAGTTTCCATTTGCAGGTGAACCACTCTCAAGGACTCGCCCCACAGCCTTGTCAAAAGCAGCCTGGCGAAGACTGCTGAATAACTCTCCACGGCGCTTCACCGCAACCTGCAGTGTACGGCTACGTGACCGCGAATAACATTCGGCAAGGAATAAAATTCAACCGGTTTTGCGTTCTCAGGCTCATCACCTTTCTATTTTGTGCGATGGCTGAACACAAATACGGCACAATCAAACGTGATAACTGATGGTGGGCGCAAAAAACGGTTCAACTTTAGTATCACGCACAGGCACGCACATGCATACATGACCCTAGTCATGGCGGCCGAAAGTAGTGCTTTCCCTGCATTGCCTGTATGCTATGCAGATAGCTGAAGCGTAGGCTGTGGGAGCACAGGGTTGCTTGGAGGTGAATACCACCAATATATAAAGAATGTGAATGAAAGAAGCATTTCAGTTGTTCAGTGTAAATTTAAGTGTCATATTATTACGAATATATCTTTCTTTGAGAACTGAACAGCATGTTTGCAGCCGCACAATGACCCACTAAGCCATGGACGCCATTTTCAATTTGAAAAATGGGTGTGCTGAAAAGGTGATGCCGTCTAAAAAATGAAAAAAAAAAAAGAAGCCATTCTTGCTAACTGTATTTTACCTATGACTTTTTACAACTGTTCAAGTCTCACAATAAATAAAGGGGCATTTCTTCAAGCAAAGCGAATGGGAAAATTATCAGTGAACTTAAGTATTATTTTTTGATGCGGTAGCAGGCATGCGCTTCGGTTCAGTGGATTCCACAATGCTGTCAAAAAAAGTTGACATTGAGTATAGTTGGTAGCTCATCATCATAAACTTGTTGCAATTTGGCCTTCCCCAATTTACATACACACACATACACGTGCATGCAAGAGCACACTCCAAACAGCGCTGACGAACAGCCATTGATTGTGCATGGCAGAAGAACCCATACACATTTATACGGTAGTGTGCAACCAATAATGATGTGCTCGTGCAACGATCAACTATGAGATGCACAAGTTAGGCCGCATTCACACAGCCGTCAAACAACCCGCAGCGTCACTGTCACGTCGAAAAAACATAGAGAAGACGTGGCGAAGCAGTGTACGAACAGACGACGATGGTTGCAAGGCCGACAGCAGCACGTTTTTGTACACCGCCAATCTCTCCCTCCCTGACCATGCAGAGACCCAGTTGTTCTATTCCTGCGTTCTTTTGTGCTCTCCACATTTTATTCTGCGTCAAGTGCGCCGAAGAAGAACCGGTCCTGGTACAATGAGCGGTGGGGCTCCGTCCTCGCACCGGCTACAGAAACGTAGAACATCACTCTGTCACCGTCAACCGGTTTTGAAACAGAAAATAGCTCGAACCTCCTCTCCCATGACGAAAATCGGTGCTGCGACGATGACTGGACGGGTCGTTTGACGGATGTGTGAACAAGCCCTCACAACCAACCACCACCTCACACAACAAGGCTAAGACCAAAGCAAAGAAAACGCCCGCTTTAAATTATTGCTTCAAGAAAAAAAGATTTATTTCGAAACAAAGCCAAAGCAAGTTCACTAACACAATGATCCTTATTCTTTTCAGTAAAGTAAGCCCCTAACGTTACTTGTGCTGAAGATCTCATGCTTTTTCTATGAAACTGTGCATCTGAAAACCGTGGCTCACGTCCACATGCTGCAGCATGTGCCACAAGATGCACGCATTTTTCCTCTCCCTAATTTTTTGCGCATGCTCCCTTAGCCAGTCATTCAGGCATCTTTTGGTTTACCCAATGTACACTTTTCAGCAGGATAATCAAATGGCATATACAACCTCCTGCAGAACACTTGACGAAGGCCTTCACATGTTTTTTTCAGGCGACTATGTTCTTGGCTATTACATATGTGTGGGTGCAATTCGCAGAGTTTTTCAGGCATCAAAAAAGCAGTGGCTCGTCATGCCTTGTTGCAACCTCCTTAAAAAAAACTAAAGTCCAAATAACAATTTACAATACAGCAGTGCCCTAATTACCGGGAAATTACGGCAAATGCACAAGAATACATGCACTGCAGGAGGACACTCAAAATAATTCTGATGTCAGACGAATCGCCTATAAATAATCACTAGTAATCAATCTAGCTGCACGAAATAATGAAGAAGTAGCCAGAAAATGCTACTTGCTCGTTTCTGTTAGATTCACAAAAAATCAATTGTCGTACGAGTACGTTAATATGGGAAATGGTGTGAGTGGTTCAAACATCTAATTTTCGGCTGGTTAAACTGGACAAGTCGTGCCATTTAGAGTGGCCCAGTTGAACCAAAACACGTCTGCCATCTCAAAGCCAATGGTAGGAAATTGATCAATGGCACCAGTTGCTGTTGTGGCTCCACTGCTCTCGGTCTGCTGCTACTAGCGTCGGTGGCCGCGCAACGTTGTGTACTGCAACAGCGACGTTAGACGACCCGCTTCTCAAGGCGGGTAATTTGAAGTGCGCTAACCCTATGCGAACCACTAAAACGCGATTTTATTTCAAAATAAGCCCTTTTTTGGCATAAAAGTAACACTACGATGCTTCTAGAGGGCTATTTCACCAATCAATGTCGATTTAATACAATGAAATCTCGGTAGAACCAACTCCACATTAACAAACTTTTCAGATTAATGAACTTTAAAAAAATCCCTCGCCGACTGCTAACAGTTTCAATGGAAAATTATTTCACTACTACGTGCTTCAGAATACCGAACTTTTCAAAATAATGAACGTTACCGTAATTTAGTTCCACGTTATATTAACAATACCTCAGTATTACGAGTTGTGTTTACAAATCCGTTGCGGCCATCAGAGGGGTACACAAGCAGACCACAAAGCGAATGGAAACCTTGCTTCTTGGAAGGCACGTGATGGTATGGAGGGGGGAAAAACACGAAAGGGTGACTTTCTTTTCTTTCTTTTTGTTGAAAAGCTGACGCTGCAGGTTTACAAGCACCAAGGCGAAGGGTGAGGGCAACACGGGAGGGCAAGGTCAGCGAGGCAGAGTGGGAGTTGCGGAGCAGGAGGCACAGGCACAGAAAACCTGAGACAGCGAGGAAGCAGAAAACAAAGCGCGAGAAATTTTCTTTTTTAGCACTTTTTTTTTCCGGAAGAGGCGATCACACAGCTGTCGCACTTCAGGATTTTCTTTCTTTGTCACTTCTACATGTGCTCTAAGAGGCCTGGTTTGTTAGTCGTGTTCATCTCTTTTCAGTGATTACTATTCGCGTCCGCAAAGTGAGTCGGCATTCGCGCTGCGGCGCTACTATCTCTGCTTGTGATGAAGAAGAGGAAGCAGTTTTCGCTAAGCGAAAAAGTGGATATTCTTCGGCAACTGGAAGGTGAAAAGCTGGCTGTTGTGACCAAAGAACCGAATCGCAATGTGGATTAGCTGGAGACTTTCGCGCTGTAAAGTTTGTGCTGCACACATGAAAGAAAGAAAAAATTAGACTTCTTTAAAGTAAACGTGCATGTTTTTTGTGTTCACTTGTGAATTTGTTTTTTTCTGATAAAAAACAAGTTCAAGGACCTACCGTTGTGACGGCAAGTCGTTTTGGTCGTTGGAAAATAAGTATTTATGATTCATTTTTGGGCTGTCACTACAACGACCTTCCAAAATATTGAAATAATTGCTGCAGCCCCCTGAAGTTCGTTATACCAAGATTTCACTGTAGTTGCCTGTCCCTTTAAGAGCTTATGACAGTGCGGCATCATTTGCAGCTTGGAACTAAAAGAATGCCAAACACCTTGTGTTCCACATTTCACTTTCTACACAAGAGACTCGGTAACATCATACTTATGACAGACAGAGGGAAAGCCGCCGGAGAACTAAAACGAGTGCACATGTGGTGTGGGCATGACTCGGTTAATGCAGATTCAAGGCATCTATTTCAGACGTTTATCGAGAATAAATCACAGAAATTTAACGTTATCCGAAGCCAGCATAGCATAGTTGCCCAGCAAGACCATTATGGAGGAAGATATCGCAGATTCTCGACTATGAAAGCGTGCAAACGTTTTAGTAGGATTGATTTGAACTTATCTCAGCACCATGAACGCACACTGCTAAGATCTGCATTAAGGGTATCTTGAAGTTATTTATGCAATGAGTCATGTCATCAGTATCATCATGTCATGTCATCATAACAACAAACTGTTAGAAGTGCTAAGCATATTGCCACATTCCATCCTGAAGTTTTGTTATCGCACTGTTTCACTGTCAGTAATTCTAAGCACAAGCCACAGCTACAGTGTACCGTTAAGATTACGGCCACTCTGTGAACATGACAGATTATTCTGAAAGCTACATTGCCGCTAGCAATAACACTAGAATATTCGATGGCAAGTGTATAAATGCAGACACGCTTCGCCGCTTGTCAGTTGATCGACGACCGACGCTAAATTCGCCGCTATCAGTGCAAGTCTGCTATTGTGATCCAACTATCCGTTTACCGGGCACAGGTTCGCCCAAATAAACAGTTGAATCTTCAACATACTGTCTGCTTCTTTGCCGGCGTCATGACCCCATGACATCTTGTGGAATGCTGCTTTTTTTCATGTTCCCAACGCCCCCTTCAAGCCGCGAACCCAGCCCAAGCGGCAAAGAAGACACCGAGGCCAACCCTAACCAGCGAATAAGCCGCAGGCAGAGAGGAGTGCAACCAGAGTACGGGCCCCTTCTGGAAATAGCCAAGCAGCCCCGGATCTCCCAATCAACAGCAGCAATGATGACCACCCTTGTGCAGTCTACCCCAGTCGTTCTCTGGCAGCCAAACGAACTGCGAACATTCCATGGATCGCCAGGCGACGACCCGGAAAGCTGGATCGAGATATACGACCGAGTAGCCACTTTCAACAGCTGGGACCCCGAAGGAAAATTGCGCCACATCTATTTCTACCTAGAAGATGCCGCGAAAACGTGGTTCTAAAACCACAAATCCACGCTATAAACCTGGGAACTCTTTCCGATGACGTTCTTGAGCACGTTCATGAGCGCCGTCCACAAGGAAAGGGCCTCCACATTGATGATGATGAGTAGTTTATAATGGCACAAGGGCCAATTGATGGCCAAAGAGCGCCATTTCAATCGACTACAGATATGAACAATGATATGATGCGTGGCTGTAAAGGGGCCTTAAAATTCCTCCCTCT